TGGTTTTGACGGGAATGCACAGGTTGGAACACCCACATGTCTCTCGAAGGTCACCCGACGTCTTGCAAAAACTCACATGTGTCGCTATTGTCCAAGCACTATGGTGTCCGATAGATCACCGGCAGAGGAACCGAGAGTAACTTACTAATCCTATTAGCATTTGAAAAGAGAGAAGCTTTAGAAAACCAGCACTCTCATTATCAATTATCTTCGGAGAAATGTCCCTCTTTTCAGTCTCTCTCTCTCTCTCTCTCTCCCTCTCTTTCTTGCTTCCTTTCTGTCTTTTTCTCAACCCCTTCCCGCTGTGTTCCATCTGCATATGTTGTGTAGGAAGCCGGAGCAACAGCTTATGAACTTTTCCACATTATTTTCTATGAATTTTACTCGTGGATAGGATATAGGCCTATGCAAACTAAAAAGGACTTAATAAACGCCTTTGATATTAGGCATTAATCATCATTACCAGGTCCCTCGGAGATGATCTAAAGCCGTCGGCCGTCTGGTTGCTTACTTACAAGCATTTTTGCTTTCTTAGCAGTCAGGTAAAATAACCACCACCAACCACCACCAACAACTGTATATAAAAACGTGGCAAATGTATAGATTCCTTCGTGTAAAAACTACAAATAGATGCAGCAGATCAAAAAGCGGATCGAAATGGCTGTAGTAGAAATAGATGTATCCAGAAATTGCATACCTTACGGGTGAACTTCTCAGTAAATAAAGCAGTCCATGCATACAAGATAAAATAGCAGGATGCAAAATATGAAGTCAGGCAAATCTCGCTCATAATTCGAACTTTCTCAAACAATCCAACCAAAACATAAATCAGAAGCTGGTTTCCTGAAGAGGTCAGATTTGTTTCGCACGTCCTTCATTCAGCCGCCTTGCCTCGTCGCCAGACAAGCTGACGTGTAAGGTGAAGTAGCCCAAGATTTACGATACAGTACTTCACATAAATGTAGGGTTACAACGAATGTTTGACGGTGGTTCTTGGTCGCACGAATGGAATACCCGAGCGGAAGTTCGAGAACTTTAACTTCGAGAGCTTTAAAGGTGAAATTCAAAGAAAATCACAAATATGACAACTAATGTATCACTAGAAACTGGTAAGCTAACAGATGGCCATCGTAAAAGTTTTAGGTCAACTACATATCGGGTGATTTATAAAAATACAAATACAACCACCTCCATATATAGCAGCTGGATTTACGAGAGATTCGCCAGAAAAATAACGATGTTTTAATGACGTCACTATATGGACCAATACTGCCCAAGCAGACGACATCCCATAAAGAATCAACATAATTGCAAAGCTCTTATTTATCAAATTATAATGAATTTAGTGTATATAAATGTAATGGCATGTCAAACCATTCAAAAGGGGATTTGACCCGACTCTGATAACTAAAATCGTTTGCTTGTAAATACACAGGATAGGGGTCAATTAAAAATCAAAGAAAACAGACTTCCAAATTGAAAGCCCCTCGGAATGATATTAAGGACGACATTTGTTCCCTCTTGAAACGCCGAACATACCGCGGTGTGTACAGCTGAATATACAATGGCGTCTTATTTTGTTTACAAGCGACAGATTCCCTTCGAGAACTTTAACTTCGCGAACTTCGAGAAATTTTTCCGGTCCAAATTTGAAAGGTTTGTCAAACGCTTTGTACGGCTTGTAGAAATGTTACGGTCTAAATTGAAAGATGTTTCAAATGCTTTGTACAGCTAGTAGGTTTTATAGGATTTTTAGATAATTTTAGAAAGCATATACAAGGTGTTTGTTCAGTCTAGCTGGCTTGTAAGGTGAAGTAGCCCCAGATTTATGATACAGTAGTACTTCACATACATGTAGGGTTACAACGAATGTTTGACGGTGGTTCTTGGTCACACGAATGGAACATTCGAGCGGAAGTTCGAGAACTTTAACTTCGCGAAATGTTCCGGTCAAAATGTGAAAGATGTGTCAAACGCTTTGTACCGCTAGTATGTTTTATTATCTTCGAGAAATGTTTCGGTAAAAAAAATTGCAAGATGTGTAAAAGGCTTGTACAGCTAGTAGGTATGATACTATATTTAGGTCATTTTAGAAAACATACATGGTGTTTATTCAGTCTACTTGACATGAAAAGTGAAGTAGCTCTAAGATTTATGATCTAGTACTTCACATTCATGTAAGGTTAATCGGTCCTGGTCACGGATTCATGTATTCGAGAAGATGTTCGCGAAATTTCTCTGGCAAGATTGTGAAACCTGAAAAACGCGTAAACTTCTGTTAAAGCTAGTATGTGCGATATGATTTTTATAATTTTTCAGAAAGTACAATCAGTGTTGCTTTTGGATCAACCCATTTATAATAACTGTTTAGAAAGGCCACGACATCTCTTTCGACGATTTTTTTTATTTCGCGATAGAACTTTATTGCTGTCGTCGAAGTTTCGGTACTAAAATGCCAGTGGTACCATTTCCTATTTTGTCGAGGTTGTCCGAGGTATTAGTTCTCTCCCATCTAGGTCAAACCAACATAAAATGCCCATTTTTGAAAGCGTGTAATCCATTTATGAGAATGAGGTTGTCTTGAAATGTCTTAAACGCTGAAGATATTTGTGAGGCACTTCTTGTTTATTCCCCTTGTGATTTATCATGCCACGAAGAGAGGAAGATGTTTATCGTGTTTCTGACAAGCAACGAGGGGTGAGACAGAGGTTGAAAATTGCACCTTCACAATAATTCAGTTAAGTTACATTTTTATGAGACCTTCTACTATATACTCACAGTTAAAGATGATATTTAGGTAACATTGTACGTGAGAACTCTTTATTATGTCAGCGGTCATGATAGTCATGAAATTGATCCAATTCTGATATCCAAAACGGCAAACATTCTTTAAAGTACAGTATTTCTCCGAGTATGCTTCCGAGTAATTTAGGCCTTTGTACATGTAGTGAATATATAATTATATTGTTTGAACCTGCAAGATGTTGATACTAGCAAATTTCATTCATATCAGGGGTTTATTGTTGCCATTGATGCAAATTATCATTAAAATTGCGTAACTTCATCAAGATCACAGACCCTGTGACCATTGGACACCAAGGTAGAACCTGCAGAAAGGCTCAAAGAGCTTTCTGCACTCGCCACTGGACTGCTTGGATACCGTATCCGGATACCTTGCACCTGGACACCCAGCCCCACCCCCCCTCCCCCTGATAACCTGCCCCGGTCAACTACCCTCAGGACAACTACCCTCTAGGACAACTACCCTCTAGGGCAACCACCCTCTAGGACGACTACCCCCAGGACAACTACCCCCGGACAACTACTCCCTAGGAGTACCCCCAGACAAAATGTATAACCCTTGGATACATCGGGGCGCGCTTATAAATATAATTTTAGGAGAGCCTAATAATTATGAAGATTTATCTCGTGCAAGACAAACGACGAAAGATAAATGGGTTTGGAAGACGTCAGATCTTTAGACAACATGTGTCTCTTCATGGGATCATCATATCAGACGTTCGGTAAACAGCAGTTCCACTTTTTTGACATATGACAACCCATGCGACGGTTACGCGACCCAATTAGAAAAAAAATCACTAGGTTAATACATATGGTTTAAGGAACTTGCAGTGATCTCTATAAGATTAAAGTTGGAAGCTACTGGCTCAGCACGAAGATCGTTTGTAGTGTTGTTGAAATGTCTTGAAACCCCAGACTGAAAGAATCCTCACGCTATCCTTGATTGTGGACATAATTATCGATGACATCGAACGAAGGGATAGCATTCTGTAAATGTACTATATATTATGTCCCATTTGCAACCAACATCAAATTTTGCAGAACTTTGCAGGAATTATGAATATGTCATGTATGTCCTATTTGTGAAATTTAAACATTAGCAGTGCCCCAATATTCAAATTTTTAAAGAAAGTCCGTTAACTTTCTAGACTTCACTGTCAGATACTATTGAGTGACTTCTGTGTTTTTTCTTTAGTAATAACATAAATGAAATGAGCTGTAAAGGGTACATGAGCATTTGTCTACATCAATAACCCAATTCTTGTATTGGCCAAAATTAAACTGATAAACCTGAATACCTGAACCAACCTTAACCGGACATGCTGGAAGAAAACATGAACTGAGGGGTGGGGACAAAGAGGGGGAAAGGACAGGATCTTTTGGAGGAATGATCATTCTGACACTTCACATTTCATCTCACATTTACTTACATTACTTCATATTTAAATCCACAAATCAGCGCACGTACGTCGTGTATATACGTAGTTAAATAGAAAGACAAATTGATACGGGTGGCTGTCTGGACAGCACTGTACAGTGTTAAACCATTGAACAATGGTGTGGATCAGTTTGGTGGTATCCGGCAACGAATGATACTAGACAGACACAGAGCTGTCACAATTAAAAACATCCACCATATCAATGTTCAAGTACGGAGAAACGGCGGAGTCAGGAGGGCACGATTGTTAGTAAAGTTGCCAGTCCCTTCCTCGGGGACATTCTGTCATAGTCCTTCTCAAAACTACGATGGCAGAATGCAATGTTTACACTCGGTTCGTAGTTATATCTTATTGATAAATCAAGAGATAAATGGTTTAAGTCAACATAGTATGTCCTATTTTCTGAGACTGACACTGCCAATAAGGATTAATTGACACCTCGTATCATGATTCGAAAAGATTAAAATCGACTTATACTCCATCTGTCAAGACTAAAATCGTCCCAAACCAGCTTTGCAAAGCAATATGACGTCTATCGCCCTGTACTTAATGACAATTTTTTTTCAGTAATAATTTTCCGTTTATCTCTAATTAAGTATATCATATATTATATTAAATTAGTTGAATAAGTGAATGGTTTTATAAGTTAAATTTCATTTCTTTTTTAAAAGAATGTAAACATTGGTAGACTTGAATTCAGAAGCCTCCACGACTTAGACCAGACATTCGATTACATTCAGATTTTGTTGTTTTATGATTTTGCCCGTCTTTATTTTTCTTTTTTATTTTTTATTTTTTTGGTAAAAAGAAACCATTGAATTAGATTTTCTGAGATCTTCACTCGGTTACAAATCTATCTATGTAATATCTCACCAATGACATAATTATTATTAATATCCCCCTAACAGATAATCATAATTATAAGCGATTACGATGGTCTGAGCATTTGGGTTTGATGATATGTAATTATTTCTTTACACATTTTCGCTTTTGCCATCAGCATGCTACTCCTGGCCCAAGGCAGCTCGGTGGAGAGGAGAATGGGTCACTCGTGGAACTCACCAGAGACCGCTAAATTCTGCAAGTCCCACACGTGGTTCACCAGGCAGCAGCTAAAGCTATGTCAGCTCCATCCCGACATCATTCCAAGTGTGACCCAAGGCGCCATGCAGGCCATCTACGAGTGCCGGTACCAGTTTAGGAACGAACGATGGAACTGTCCCGTCAGCAACGTCACAGGAGTTTTCGGCAAGACGAGATTAAGAACAAGTAAGTTTACACGCCATTTTGTTTGCCGACTCAAGAAGGAGACGTGATGGTTCAGTGGTAGAGCAGTAGTCTCGGAAACGGGAGGTCCCGGGTTCGATACCAAGTCGATGCGCTACTGCACTTTGGTAATGCATTCAGCGTCATTACCAAGTCCCTCGGAGAGAATTAAAAGCTATCGCGCCCCTGGTTGCTTATACTGAAAGGTATACACATGCTTTCTTAGCAGTCAGGTAAAACCATGAACCCTACTACAAACAAAAAGGCTCTGGACACTCATATTGTATCAAACCCTTGGCCTTGTTCGTAAGCAAGAGTTAAGTATGTGTTCGAGTTTGACCCTTTAGCTTGTCTCTCGTTGGCCTGTCCGTACGGTTAATGACCTTGGTGAGCAAATATGACAAGCAATCCGACCTAAAACAACAGCCCCAAGAAAGAGGCCGAGAAACGATACATCTGGGCTAATAGGTGCGAAGAATCTGTGACACGGCCCGATGGCCTGGTGATACGGCTACTTAATAGATGCCAATGGACTTGCCGAGACACTGCTGACAACTATAACGCAAATTAAGAGTGGAAGCGCAATCCTTTTGTTCGGGGAGGTTTCCAATGGGCATACTTGCGAATTCCAAGAATGACCTACTTCGTAGACAAACATCCGTGACTGGTTAGTGTGAAGTATATAGTACACTTTTGCTTTTAGTAAATGACGTATCACACATTCAAGAACAGTTACTAATGATAGTTCAGTACTAGTTTATCTCATAACTGGTGAACTACTAAACTCCTACTGTCACACGAATCCAGTACTAGTTCGCGATCTACTGAAGATGACGAAGAAGTATCCATAACTGTGTTGACTTGATATCACTCTATTTTGCAATGAGTGATGTGAACTCCATGTGCCATGTACGTGACATTTCATTTTTGTAACATCGATAAACAGTTCTTCATATGAAGAATCTCAAATTTCTTGCTGCTCTTGCATGGATTCCAAGACTGTCTGACACGTACCTGGTGGATTTCTTGTTGTTCCATTCAGGATTTATCATAAGCTTTCTCTGAATCTTTGTTGGCTGTTGGCGCGTGCTTCTTACTCCAGTCATCCGCTGTGGGCGGGTAATCATGTCACGTGCTTTATCACATGATTTATCACATGATTTATCACATGACAGGTGCGCACCTGATTGGCAGACAAGCTAATCGGAATACCGAGAAGGAAGGTGGTACTCAAATAATTTAATGATAACACCCATTAATTGTAATTAAGAGATTATGTTTGTTGCCAATTCGATGATGATGATTAGTTCAAACAATCTGTGACAGTTGCCGTAATTCCAACAGGTGAATGGAAAATCGAAATGGATCGGAAGGCTGCGGAAAAGCTCATGTGCAATTTTATCAAAAGATTATGCGGCGCGGTCGAGATTAGGAACGGCGGAAAAGAACAGTATTACATTCAGAATGGAATAGGAGAGAATAAAAGCAAACATTATAGATATGAGTAAGTCGACTGAGAATGAGAGGAAACCAAAACTAGAAATGCAATCGTGTCACAACGATGTGCGTGCAATGACGCCATGTTTCTACGTGTCAAACGAAAGAGCTTCTCTCGGACTATCCAGAGCGATTTGTACGAAGTCTGTAGCTTCTGTGATGTTAGAGATAGGTAGGGCGAGAGAAAGGCCTCAACAGTGACCTTGATGGGATGGTAGTGACTATATGCCTACGAAGTTTGAAAGAAATTGGGATAGGGGAAAGGACGTAGAAAGGGCTCGCAAGCACTGCGTGCAAAAACCAAGGGGATTTGGTGCATGTTCGTCATTGCAATACAGATCGTTCTGGGGGTCAAAAGCGTGAACCCGATATGCCCCATAGACAATGCGTGTAATGCATGAGCGGAAAACGTACAGGATCTGTATTATGACCGGAGTTAAATTGTTTTTTCTCTCTCTCTTTATGTCTTCTTATGGGCCGTATTTGGTATCATTAGAAAGAGAATTTCATGATTGTTATTGTAAACCACTCACTTTTTTTCTATGATAATCCTATCGAAACACGTGATGTAAAATAGATTTATAAGACAAAATGGCGTCTTAAATGGCCCCATTGACCAATTTTAAAAATCCGGCCAAGAGGTGCCCTGCGTATTGGAACTCGGCATGTCACTGCAAATTTTCAAGGAAAAAAAAGGACGTTTAAGGGGCGAAAAGCAGTCCGAAAAAATGACGTCATAGCCGATACGTGTTAGATTCGGGCGGAAACTCGGCGGAATTCGTGTAGTGACCTTTGTTCAAATGCGATTTATTCACAATTTTCTGTGTGAACATATACTATACTTGGTATCATTCAAAAGGGCACTTCATTGCGGTCAGTTTGACACCATTGTTATCTTCGCGCAATGTATTGCACGCATTAAACGCGCTATTACGTAATGCATGGCAAATTCATCATTTTTGGCGATAACTTTGCGCTGACATATTCGAATTTTACAAAACTTGGTGGACAGTTGTCACGTATATGGATACATATGTCTGCCAAGTTTCATTGATGTAGGTATAAAGATCGCTAATTTAGAGCAAGTTGAAGTTATTTCTCAATTTTCTTGAAAATGGCGAATTTGGAGGGCAATTTTCTCAAATTTGGTCAGTGATAGGGTATATAATTTTGTATATGGCTGGAATGGACATATCTTCAAGTATCTAAATCCAAAAAAGGGTACGGGTTTGCCAAGCCATAATGGAGATACGGCCACAGAAAGAAAGCCAATTCCCAGAACTTTAGAGGGCGCTATTTATGTTTTGCATAGCCATTTGAGCGTAAAATTTGGCATGGCTATGTGCAATTATGAGATAAAGATACTGCGAGAAGATGAGACCTAACGGAATTGGTAAAAGAAAGTTATTGCAATTTTTAGATTTTTTGGGGTCCATTTTTCAAGAATTTGAGAGATTGTTGACGGAGTCGGTTTCAGATTTGAATTTTGAGTACGAAGATGGCATTTTGAAGGTCAGGTTATATGTCGCAGATGAAAGAACATCTCTTAGACTATCTAGAGGAATTTGTTAGAAGTTTGTAGGATCTAGGATAGTGGAGATAGGAAGGAATAAAATAAGGCCTTAAAATGGACCAGAAACGGACATAATGGCGCCTGGACGGTTATGCATGAGTGATTTCGAAAATCGAAGAATGTAGTGACCTTGATGAGATGTTAGAGACGATGCCTACGAAATTTGAAAGGAAAAGGACATGAGGAAAGCACCTTACTAGGAATCACAAGCACTACGTGCAAAACGAATGCGATTTCCGGACGATAAGGATAAGGAAAAGGAGAATATTAATTGGGCAGAATGTGAACGAAAACAAGGCAATGACGAAGGTTCGTCATTGCAACTAAGGAGGAGAATATTAATGGGGCAGAATGTGAACGAAAACAAGGCAATGACGAAGGTTCGTCATTGCAACTAGAAATGCAATCGTGTCAGAACGATGTGCGTGCAATGACGCCGTGTTTCTACGTGTCAAACGAAAGAGCTTCTCTCGGACTATCCAGAGCAATTTGCACGAAGTCTGTGGCTTCTGTGATATTGGAGATAGGTAGGGCGAAAGAAAGGCATCAACAGTGACCCTGATGGGATGGTACTATGCCTACGAAGTTTGAAAGAAATTGGGATAGGGGAAAGAGCCTAGAAAGGGCTCGCAAGCACTGCGTGCACAAACCAATGGGATTTGGTGCATGTTTGACATTGCAATCAAGTTCGTTCTGGGGGCCAAAAGCGTGAACCCGATATGCCCCCATAGACAATGCGTGTAATAAATGGGCGGAAAACGTGCAGGATCTGTATTATGGCCGTAGTTAAATTGTTTTTTCTCTCTCTCTTTACGTCTCTTTATGGGCCGTATTTGGTATCATTAGAAAGAGAATTTCATGGTTGTTATTGTAAACCACTTTCTTTTTTTCTATGATAATCCTATCGAAACACGTGATGTAAAATAGATGTATAGGACAAAATGGCGTCTTAAATGGCCCCCTTGACCAATTTCAAAAATCCGGCCAAGAGGTGCCCTGCGTATTGGAACTCGGCATGTCACTGCAAATTTTCAAGGAAAAAAAAGGACGTTTAAGGGGCGAAAAGCAGTCTGAAAAAATGACGTCATAGCCGAAACGTGTTAGGTTCGGGCGGAAACTCTGCGGAATTCGTGTAGTGATCTTTGTTCAAATGCGATTTACTCACAATTTTCTGTGTGAACATATATAATACTTGGTATCATCCGAAAGGGCACTTCATTGCGGTCAGTTTGACACCATTGTTAACTGCGCGCAATGTATTGCGCGCATTGAACGCGCTATTACGTAATCCATAGTAAATTCATCATTTTTGGCGATAACTTTGCGCTGACATATTCGAATTTTACCAAACTTAGTAAACAGTTGTCACGTATATGGATACATATGTCTGCAAAGTTTCATTGATGTAGGTATAACGATCGCCATTTTAGAGCAAGTTGAAGTTATTTCTCAATTTTCTTGAAAATGGCTTATTTGGAGGGCAATTTTCTCAAATTTGGTCAGTGATAGGGTATATAATTTTGTATATGGCTGGAAAGGGCATATCTTCAAGTATCTAAATCCAAAGAAGGGTACGGGTTTGCCAAGCCATTATGGAGATACGGCCACAGACAGAAAGCCAATTCCCAGAACTTTAGAGGGCGCTATTTATGTTGTGCAAAGCCATTGGAGCGTGAAATTTGGCATGGCTATGTGCAATTATGAGATAAAGATACTGTGAGATTTAAATACAAAACGGAATTTATATGAGAAAGTTATGGCAGTTTTAGATTATTTAGGGGTCCATTTTTCAAGAACTTGAGAGATTTTTGACGGAGTCGGTTTTAGATTTGAATTTCGAATATGAAGATGGCATTTTGAAGGTCAAGTCATACATCGCAGATGAAAGAACATCTCTCAGACTATCTAGAGGAATTTGTTAGAAGTTTGTAGG